TTACCGATTTGGTGCAGCGACGCATGGGGTTTCTCAGCTGCCAATGGGATGTGCGGGATCCCTTGTGTGTTTCTGTACCTTTAAGGAGGTGGGGCGTCCTCCTGACAAGCCTGCACCCAATTTGATATCTTCTGCCCCATGTGCTCCAAGATGGAGACTCTCATAGTTTAGAGTTAGGACCGCACTATAAGAGGTGCCTTGGCGCGGCAGTGCGGCTTACACATCCTTTGCAGAAGACGTGTATCCAAACCTCTGTCATTGTCCTTAGTGGTGAGACAAGTTGTTTTACATGCTGGTTTGTGAGTGTGCCATGATGCCTTTCTACTGTTCCACTGGACACTGGGTCGCGACCCACTTTTGGGTCTCGGCCCACCAGTTGAGAACCAAGGGTCTACAGCAGGGGTGCCCATAAGGTCGATCGCGATCTACCATTCGATCGCGTAGCGATCAGTAGCAGATAGCGATGTCCTCTCCTCCCGCCCGTGGTGCTTCTCTGGATCCCCGCTACTCTCCCCATCTGTATGCAGCGGGGATCCGAGAAGTGAAAGAACCGCTGCAGCCCGCGGCGGAGGAGGGAGCCACTGTCCCAGAACTAAGGCCGAGCGGTGAGGAGAGCGGCTCCGCCCCCTTTCCCCCCCCCCCCCCCGCCGCCCGCGCTCCTTTCCTTTCCCCTTTCGGATTCGCCGCTGCCTCTGCCCGGGAGAGCAGCGTGGATCCAGAGGAGAAGCTGAGCCCCCTGTGTGTGGTCGAGCGGCAGAGGATCGGTACATATCAGTGATATGTACCAATCCTCTGTGCAGGACAAACACTGGAGCGATCAGCTGATCACTCCAGTGTTTGTAAATAACTGGGGACACATAGTACTATGTGTCCCCAGTTATGAATGAACAGGATGTGATTTACATCACTTCTTGTTCATTCATGAGTTTCTCAATGGGGAGAAGCACATTCAGAAACTGGTGATAGTAAAATATTTTCTGAATGAATGGGAATCTTCTGTGCTTTCCATTCATTTAGAACAGAGGCTGTAGTAAAAGAGATTGAGGACTTTGTGTCCTGAATTTATGTTTCTATTTTAAAAGGGAAATATCAGGGGGCTGTTTAGACCCCTAATATTTCCCCGAAGCCCCTCCAAGAGTAAAAAAATTAAAATTCAAATAAAAAAAAAAAAATAGTAAAAAATAAAATAAATCTTGGAGGCAGGGCGCTGGGTGACATCACACGCCTGTTGGGGGCACATGTTTTTTCTTGCCACGGGCGCAGAAGGAGCTGGCTACGGCTATGCTCTCGCGGTGCTCGTAAGGCTGTCAGCTGAATGTGGCAGACGCTGCAGATGGAAAGGGGCGGGACACCTCTCCCCATGTGCAATGTCGGCCACACGAGCACCGCGGGAGAACAGGACGCTGGGGCCTCTAGGACGCACTGGAATGTAAGCCGGCCGACTTTCTGCGTTCAGGGGCAGGAGGGGATGTGGGGTTATATTGAAGTCAATGGCACCGCAGCCAGGCCCCTCGCCCACAGTGCGATCGTCGCACCCGGAATGCGGGCACATTAGTGCCTGCATTCCGGTCCAGTGCTATCTGCAAAAATAGTTTTTCAGGATCGCACTGGACTGAATCCCAGACACTAATGTCCCTGGGTTCCGGGTGTGGCGATCGCACTGCGGGCGAGGTGCCTGGCTGCGGTGCCATTGACTTCAATGCACCGCCACGCCTCCTCCCGCCCCTGAATGCAGGTGATTTTTCGTTGGTAGATCTCATTGAGCTCGTCATTTGAAAAGTAGATCTCCGAACGAAAAATTGTGGGCGCCCCTGGTCTACAGATCAGCTATGACATATACATACTTACATTGGGCCAAGCTGGACCAATGTAAGTATGCAAAATAATGCATACTTGGAGTTCAGCTTTTGATTCCCAGTTTTCCTCCCCATATTCGATTTTTCTGATGAGTTGTCCGCTGCATCAGAACTCCCAGGAAACTGCATTTGACAGGCATATATATATATATATATATACAAATCATCTTTCATACCTTGTATACTTTTCTTTTTATAGATATTCTGAAAGTCGCTACCTGCAAAGCTTCCTTTTGTGTATGTGAGTGCTACACGATACAGCTTGGATAAGTGATATTTTTTAATGATACATTTATTTTTAACTTCTTAGGGAGATAAAGCCCTGCAAGCTCTACCGGCAGGAACAAAGCCAGCCATCATTACAGCCACCCGCCCAATCACCAAGATGATCGTCACACAACCTAAGGGTATCGGTTCAACAGTCCAACCGGCTACCAAAATTATTCCCACCAAGATTGTGTATGGTCAGCAGGGGAAGACCCAGGTACGTAGGCAATTATCTGCCTTGGTTGTAGGACGTTCAATGTCAGAGAATGTTGCTTGAGAACTGGAGCTTACCCCCAGGGGAAATGTCTTCACTCCTACTGGCCAAACAGAGTAGTGCGGTAGCAAAGGAGAAGTATAAGGGCCCATTGACACTATTGCGCTGCGTTGGTGCATGTGCATTGTTTTAAGGAAGCCTTTGCATTTGGATAGGCTGGCTAAGAAACCAAAATGCACCATGTACTGTGTGTACCACTTTTTGCACCGTAGGGCATGTTAGTTCGTTACCTCACATTTTGCTGTGCTGCTATGCACATACGTCAGGAGATTACATTGAGGTGGCATTCAGACGCACCAGCACATTTTACCGCAGAGCAATAGTGTATCTCATTTAGAGTGGGACTTGATAAAGACATCACCCGCACACTAAGAGAACGTATCAAAACTAAAGTCCATTTATTGACGAATACTGTCTCTCAAACAAGCGATTTCGCGGCCGCGCAGGGTTCCCTTCATCAGGCTCAGAAAAGTTGTGAACCCGAAAGAGCTTGTTTGAGTGACAATATTCGTCAATAAATGTTTTGTTATGTTATCCTGGTGTGCCGGTGACGTCCTGCTGTAGCTGTGCCCAGCTGTACCCGCCCCCTCCCCTGTCCATTCCGCCAGTCAACGCTGGAGGATCGAACGGGGGGGGGATCCCTGCAGGGAGCCGTGAGTGACAGTCACGTCTCTCTGCAGGGAGATGATCGAGAAGTGAGAGAGCACCGGCATGTGTTCGCTTACTTCCCGATCTACTGAGCCGACGTGTGACAGTTTCATTGTCGCAGGTCGGCTCAGATTATGAGGCTGAGTGAAAAATCACTCACCTCATAGTTCTCCTTTAACTAAACAGTCCAGCTCAATGTCTATCTTCCCTACACACCTTCGGTCAAATCATTACAGGTATACGTGAAATGTTTGTGAGACTTGGCTAGTGAGAAATGTAATCCTATGCTTTCTTTGCCCCAGGTCCTTATAAAGCCAAAGCCAGTGACGTTTCAGGCCACGGTTATGAGCGAACAAACAAGACAGCTGGTGACAGAAACCCTTCAGCAAGCTTCGCGAGTGGTGGAGACTACCAGCGCCACCATCCAGGAAGTGAAAGAAGACACTGAGAGCAGCTCCTCTTCTACCGAGTCCTCCCAGAGCTCCCAAGGTAACTGAGGATACACCAGTCATTAGGCTTGGGTCTTTTCTAGAACTAGTATACCTTTTATATGGTGTGGCAGGGGTAGGCAACCTCAACGCTCCAGCTGTGGTAGAATTCCATTATACCTCTGCCTCTGGGAAGTTATGCCCGTGGCTGTCAGAATCTTGCAATGCCTCATGGGATTTGTAGTTCCACAACAGCTGGAGTGCCAAGGTTGTCTACCCTTGCAGTATTGGGAGTGCCGTGCATGTTTTATAGTACACACCTGCATTATTCTGTACAGTATACTTGAAGAGGACCAGTTGTCATTAGGCTTACACAAGCATCTAAATATTCAATCTGAAAGAAAGTCTCACTAACTTTTATTTTGGTTGCTCCTGTCCCCAGGGGAAAAAGTGCATGCATGTACAGGTATTTAGATATGAATGTATGGACCTGTATCACACAGAGTAAAGCTGGCCATACACCTTACAATTATCTGCAGACTTTCTATGGTCAGATGGAAAAGGTGCAACAGATTCCTCCATCTACGCTAAACTGTGTGGATGGAGGAATCTCCAACTGGGTCAAGCTTCAGTATCTTGCTAGTCGGCCCCACTGTCTGTCAAAATACCTGAACAATCTGATTGGATGAAGGCATTGTTCAGGTGTTTTGAGAGCCAGCGGGGCCGACCAGCAAGATTACAGAAGCTTGGCCCAGTTAGAGATTCCTCCATCCACACAGTTTAGCGTAGATGGAGGAATCTGTTGCACCTTTTCCATCTGACCACAGAAAGTCTGCAGATAATTGTAAGGTGTATGGCCAGCTTTACTCTGTGTGTGGCATGCCAGACCCCTCTGAGTCAAACTGTTAGCTACATTCACAGGCTACCTGCTGAGAATTGAAATATAGAAAAATACTTAAAAACGACATTGTTTGGCAGTGCTTGCTTCTGAGTTGCCATGCTCACCCTTTCCGCCTGATATGCACAAGATTGTTCCAGGTCAATGACTGACCAAGCAGTAAGTGAAAAGATGACATTGGTACCCTTGTAACTTTTTATTCAACAACAGGTTGGCAATGGCAGCAACACTATTTGATCTCTATTTCAGAACACCTTTACCGGATTAAAAAAAAAAACATCTTTATTTGCCCAGATTCCCAGCCCGTAGTTCACGTCATCGCCTCTCGCGGTCAGGAGTGGACGGAGCATGAAATAGCCATGGACACCACTCCTACAATAATCTACCAAGACATCACAGGAGAGTCCCAGTCTGCCACCTCCACCATCAAGGCTCTAATGGAGCTGCAGCAGACCAGCAGTGAGTACCATTATGTAAAAACAAAAGGGGGTCCAATATCGGCTGTGAAATATTCTCCCTGCTCTCTTCTACGTGATGAGCTTGTAATATCGGGGACCCATTCATCATCTCCCTGTAAGTGTCTGTTTCCTGTAATCTATGTTTCACATCACTCGTCCTATCTTGTTCCTGTAAGGGATAGAACCTTGTTACATGTTTGTATCATCCCCCATTCATATTTGTGTTTAGTGGTTTCACAAACCTAATTCATCACATGTAGGTGGAATATCCGATATCATATCAGAATTATCCTGATAATAAAATGATATAAAGTGTATTACAGTACAGAGTGCAGAAATCGTTCTTCAGTATCTGAATGCCCAGGCACGTGTAAAGCGCACAGATATAACTATTGGCACCCTATAACTTTCAGACACCCTCAACAGCAGCGTGATCTCAGAGTAATAACAGTGACCGTCCAATGAAATTGACTTTAGATAAAGCAGGGAAGAGATGAAATCTTTGAAGTTTTTAATGATCTCTGTCCCTGTTGGGGGATTTCCACTAACTTCCTCTCATGAAGACACGATCGGAAGTGGATGTAAAGTGAGGGGCGATCCCACTACAGTCAGGTGTCTACTTTGCACGATTTCCTAACAAGTCTGGTTACAGTCACTGTAAAATTTTATATTGCCCATTATTTTCTCTCCTAGTGATGACTATTACCTAGGGATGCACCGATACCGGTTTTTCAGTATCGAGTACCAATATTTATATTTCGGTACTCGTCAATACCAAGTACCGATACTGGTACTCCCGGTAGCATAGAGCCGGCTTCCCGGGCAATCAGGAAGCCAGGAAGGTTTCTTGATTGCCCTGGAAGCCGACTCCATTCTGTTTGGCCAGCTGGATGCTGATTGGCTGCAAAGCAGGCTTATCAGCCAATTGGCATCAAGGCCGGCCAAACAGATCTGACAATATGGTGACACAACCCCCACCCTGCAGGCACCTCATTCCCCTCACAGAGATCCCTAGCTGCCGCCATTAACGTACCAGTCCCGCGGCCAGCTGGGCAGACACCGTTCTCCAAGATCTGCCCACGTCTCCTGTGTGTACAGCGCCTGCAGGGTTGGGGTCGTGCCATCATATCAGATTTGTTTGCCCGGCTCGACACTGATTGGCTGGGAAGCCAGTTTCCCGGCCGATCAGCATGAAGCCAGCTTCCCAGCTCCATGTTCCCTCGCGGCACTGCCGGTCAGAGGAAATATCCATCTGACCGGAAGTTCCAGTATCGGGAAAGGTATCTGAGCATTTGGGCGAGTACTCGCCCAAATACTTGGTATCGGCACCAATACCGATACTACTATCGGTAACGGTGTATCCCTACTATTACCAGGTTTGGAAGTGATGGTAAGTCTACATCTGGTACGTAGTAGAGGAAGAATCCGGCCGCACTGCTTCCACCCTGAATCAGTCTATTGACATAGAATCCTGCCAAGGTCTGCCCCCGCTGACATGTTTCACCCAATCCTGTGCTTAGTCATAGAGATTGGGTGAAACATGTTGGACCTTGGGCAAGACTCATTGTCACTGATGAACTTTCAATAGACTGAGTCAGCGTGAAACAGAGTGTGACCGGATTCTTCATTTTCTACATACCTGTTTGGTTGGAGCGAGGACACACTCCTGCCGGGGAGCACCCGCCTGCTGGAGCTGAGGAGGAGCGGTGCTTTATTCCTATGCATTGAAGTCAACATTTGGCATACAGCGGTTTAGGAAAAACATGGCAGAGGTTCCTTCCCTTCCCCACTCTGTTTGAAACTAGAGTATGAGTTTTATCTAAGCTCCACTTTAATTTTCCCTTAAACTGTTCAGCCAGGGGGTGTCTACATAGACCACATACTGCCCTTTTAAAATGTGAAAATTACCCTTGCAGTGAGGCCCCCCCACACCTACAAGGGTTAATTGCTTGTTAAGTCTAGTGGGTAGAGGAATAAGGCCTGGTTCACACCTGGGCATTCCTACGCGCTGTAAAACACTCAACATGTGAAAACCAATGATTGCCTATGGGCATGGTTCCCACCTGGGCGTTTTACAGCGCGTAGGAGCGTGCTGTAAAACGACCTACGCTCAAAGAAGTACAGGAGCTTCTTTGGGGCCTATTTGCCGCGCGTATCCATTAGGATACAGCCGGATAGCCCTCAGAAACGCTCGTTTGTCGCACGTTTCTTTTACCGCGTATCGCGGCACAAAACCCGCGGCAAACGCACATATTCCGTACGCCCAGGTGTGAACCCAGCCTAAGCTGTAATACTTATATTATTCCTCTCTGGCAGGATTCTGGCACCCACTTCTTCTCTCTGACGCTCTGGGTTGTTGGCGGACCCTCGCCGCCTTCACGTACAATGCAGAACTGCTTATCCTGCGTTGTACAAGATAACATCAGGGAGCTGCGGCTGCTTGCCGGAGCGCCAAAGAGAAGAACCTTTGGGGTATTAGTCCCACAGCATGGAAGCAGCCTGTTGAAGAAAGGAATAAGGTAAGTTATACAGCTTATTCCTAGATTTAATGAGCATTTAACCCTTGCTTAGTAGGTGGGAGGGGCTACTTTTGTACAAAAACACGAAAAGATCAGCTTTAAAAAATACAATAATTTCCCAGTCCGACCTTCATAGACCGGATCGAGTGATGATCACTTTATCTATGGGCACCTTTTCGTATCCCTGGTCAGCTAGTGGCATCTGCTTATAATTGCCCTTTTGTTCTCCAGTGAAAGAGAAAGTGGACACTAAGCCCCGGCAGCCGACCATTGACCTCAGTCAGATGGCTGTTCCAATCCAGATGGCCTCTGATAAACTTCAGACTGAAAGTCCTTCCATTTCCGTGGTGGAACCAGAGTTGGTTGCAGAATACATATATACAGGTAGGGGCAATATTTTAGTAAGCTGTACAAGAGTGGAAGAGATGAGAGTTAGTGGGTCGTTACTGTGACTATATAAACGGATAAGGAAAGGGTGGTTTCATGCCAAATGCTTAGAAAGCAGCGATATCACTTGCCCTGAAATATGTCATTCTGTTTGGCTCGTTTTGTGAGTCAGGCACTGCTGCCCTACAGCGAAGACAGGTCCTCAGCCTCCCCTGTAACAGTAACAGAACCCCCCCAGCCTGCTGCTTAGCCATTGAAGAAACAGCATGATGTGTCATCCATCTGCTCTTTCCTTCTGACTACATGTTCACTCTGCACAGCAGCGGAGCCTGATTGGCTCTTAGACGTGACCATTCCTCTTCCTTCATTGCAGAAAGCTAGAATTCAGACCAAGACATGTCAACAAAATGTAGTTGTTCATCAAGGTGTGCTTATCTGTTTAGATTTAAAGGGTAATTCCACTTTCCAAGGTGAAGTTGGGAAAATAGAATTCCCCCCACTAAACTCAACTTTTGGCAAACGCGCCTTCCCCTCAGCCACTGCAGATATACTATCCGCACCCCGTACTGCTGCCTAGTGGAGCTACGCGCTCTGGATTTAGAATTTTGCTCCCAAATGGTGAGCACTCTTTGGTTCTTAACAAGAAGTGTTTCTCATTGGTCAGCGCGGTCAGGTGACTGCTTGCCATTTGCGAGTGAAATGCAAAATCCAAAGCGCAAGGCGGAAGTATGGGATATGGATAGTAAGCCCGCACTGACGGAGGAGGAGGAGTGTTCGCTGAAGGATAAGTACAGCATGGGGGGGAGAAGGGGCCAGATTGGAGGGGTAATTATTCCATGTTCCAAAATCCACCCTGGGAAAGTGGAGTAACAGCCCGTTCACACCAGACACAGTGTGTGGCACATCAATGCCTGCGTTCCGATCAGAAAAAATAGTGCTTGCCGCATTGATGTGCCCTGTGTTCCTGTGCGGCCGATCGCATTGCGCCCATTCCCTCCCCACAAGAAAGTAAGCCAGCTGCAATGCGATCCAGTGCGTTCCGGCCAGAATCGGGCCGGAACGCACGGTCTGGTGTGAATGGGCCCCTAATCCTTTAAATTTAAAGTTGGCCTCTGGGTGTTGCCATGGCTTCTAAAAATGCAAATTGCTTGGCTGCGTTATCCAATGTTACTATTATACAAGGCTTGTTTAAAAAAAAAAAGGTATCAAAACCCAGAATATGTAACATGGCAGTTATGCTACAAAAAAAAAAAAAAAATAGGGTAGGACTAACACACACCCCCCCCCCCCCCACTATAATGCATTGCTGGGACTTGTAGTCCTACATAGTTGGAGCTATTCTGCATTGCTGTATAATCATCATACATCAAT